GCACGGATTACCTCAAACGTTGCACATGGAACTATAACACTTAATGTTTGCCCTGCTGGACTTTGTACTTGCTTTGATCTCATTCCTTTGTAGTCCCCTATTTGTAACTCTTGGAATAAAAATGTCTTTAGTGTGTCACTGAATGTTGGAAGCATTTAACTTTCTTTTCATTTGTACAGGGGCTTATGGCTAAGAGACTGCCTTAAATCTCAGAGGAGATTTTTGACTTGGTCTTTTCAGCAATGCTCAATTTTGGGGACTTGGGAAGCTCTTAGAGATGGACTAAATATCTGTTTTTGTAAATGAATGTATATGAGTTTGGGATGCCAGGGTCCAATGTTATTGGTTGTGACTAGATGTCCCCCCTCTAAAGCTGCATGTAGTCAGAGGGTGTTTTTGGAGGCAGCTGAATCCAGAATGTGTGCTTGATTCATAGTGCAATGCTGGGATTAAAGTTGGATGATTGCTGGATAAGTACATTGATTGGATGGGTACTACCTCAATCCCAGTAGACTGGATCCAATATAAAGGCTTGCCTCATTCTTTCTTGTTGCTTTTGCTGCATTCCACCACATGAACTATTGTCCCTCTGCCTTGTACCACTCTGCCTTGGAGCCAAATGATTATAGATTGAAACTTCCACAAATGGTGAGGTAAATGAAGGCTCCTTTCTTTACCTTTGGGTGTCAGATATTGTGTCTCAGCAATGAAAAAAGTAACGGAGTCAAACATTGACTTTTTCAACTTGATTGTGTTAAAATATGGCCTTTTGCTCCATCTTTTTGTTAATTTGGTTAAGGACTTATCAATCTTGCTTATCTTTTCAAAGAACCAAGTCTTTGTTCATTATTTTATTTATTTTGTATTTTAGGACAGGGCCTACAGGTCTACAGGGTCTCACTGCGTAGATCAGGTGCAGAGTGATTCTCCTGTTTTCATTCTCCAAAGTGCTGGGATTACAAGTGCATGTCACCATACCCAGGCTCAGTCACTGTCTCAGTGCATCCTGGGGATGGGGGTGGGCCCAGCATGGCACATCAGGGATCGAACCCTGACCACTGTTCTCTGCCTAAGTAGGTCCTTTAGCTCTTTGCTCATTGATCATTGATATTGTTTTCTTAGACTCTATTCCATTAATTCCAGCTCTGATCTTTATTGTTGCTTTTTTTTTTATCTTGGGTTTGGTTGTTTTGGATTATCTTTGTTTTATTTCAAGACATTGAGGTACATCTTAGATTATTTATGTAGATCTTCAATTTTCTAACATAGGTATTGGCAATTATAACATTACCTCTTAGATCTGCTGTCATTATATCCTAGATTCTGGTGTTTGTTTCCATTGTCATTTGATTCTAAGAATCAAAATAAGACTTTTTTCCCAAATTTATCCATGTTCTCTTCAATGAACTATTGATCACATATAAAAGTATATTATTCAATCTCTATGTTTTCTTAATTTCTAGGGTTTCTGTTGTTTTGTGGTTTAATTCCATTATGATCTGATAGTATCCATGAGATTATTTCAATTGTTTGTAGTTTTCAAAACTTGCTTTGGAGCCTAAGATATGGTCTAATTTGAAAGTTCTTTGAATCTATGAAAAGAATGTATATTCCACTCTTATTGGATGAAACACTTGAAGTTCACATATTCTATAGTGTGGTTTATATCTGGTATTTTTTTTGTCGAAATGACCTATATATCTGTGAAAGTGAGACACTGAAGTCACTCTCTCCAATTATGTTGGGATGTCTCTGTTGCTTTACATTGAGTGGATTGGTTCTATGAAATTGGACATGCCAATATTTGATATGTATGTGTTTATAATTGTTATATCTTCTCCCAATATGTAGGGAGCCTCTTTTTACAGTACTGTTGACTTGAAATCTGCTCTGTTCTGGCTGCTTATACTTACTTTCAGATTCTATTTACATGGAATTTTGTGTTCCATTCATTTACTTTGAGTCGGTGTAGGTCTTTTGGATGAGGTGCCTCTTGAGGACGATATATATATCATATTTGGGTTTTAATTTTTAATCTAAGCTCACACTGTGAATCTTTTGAATAGAGAATTAAGATCATTGATATTCAAGGTTATTGTTGAAAGATATGCACTAATTGCTGCCATTTTGTTATTTTTATGATACTTGATTGTTTCTAAATACTTATTTGCTATTCTAGTCTTCATTTGTGTGGTGTTCCTTTAAGTATAGGAGAAAGGATTTTGAAAGTTTTCACCATAAAGAAATTATGAATGTTTGAGAACACACATATGTTTAACGTGACTTAAATATTGCAATATATATATATATATATATATCACATAGTACCCCATTAATATGAAACTTTTATGTATGTATTACAATAAATTTAATTTTAAAAATACAAAGATGCCCAACTCATAAATGGGACACACAAGCTGGTTTCATAAATATGTGTCTTCTATCTCTTCTATTGTGGTGCTGGCTAAACAGGAATGTCGCTGGAATCGCAACGGAGAACTTGAATTCAATTGAATGATGTAGGTGCGGCACTTATTACGTGACATGTCTGCAGGAGAGCTGATGTACTTGGTGTACACAGAAAGCTGGCTCCTACAGCTCCTGTCTAAATTAAAAGTACTACATTTTAACTCTCAACTTTCACTGCTACCTGATTGGAAAGACTTCTATAGCTCATTTCAGAAGTCTTATTTGCTATTATGTTATTCAGAGCTGAAAAAATAACTCTTCCCACTAAAATTAAAAACTACTTGAACCCAAACCCCATGAAATGTATACTCTTACTTGGCATATGACAAAATACTGAGACTTTTAAAATTCTAAAACTTTTCTTAAAAAAATTTATTTTTTCTTATAGAAGTAGTGCAAACACTACAACTTTAACATGGTTTTACTAATCTTGGCTCAGAATAAATTTTGTTGCCCCTTTTAATTTTACATTTATACAATTAGATTGTCTGATACACTGGGACTTTATGCTCTGTTAGCTGTACACGGGAGGGTTGTCGGCCTAATATTTTCTAACCATCTTTTCACAGATGGATTTTTCATATTAGCAATAATGACAGAATCTTAGTTTTTAAGAAATCTTTCAGGCAAGATTAATTATCCAATGAATGTTGAAGGGGTGATTATATGAGACTTGGGGGCTCATGCTTCATCAACTCAGAGAAAAGGATGAGTTGCATCGATTGCAGAAGTTTTGGTCACTGAAAGGTCAGAACAGAAAAGCACAGAACATTATAGAGATATAAAAGAAAGGGAAGTTACATAAAACTAAAATGAAGAAAGTTTTAACAAAAAATTTTTAAACAAATTTGTAACAAAGTCTTCTAAGTCCTTAAGTTTTCATATTTTCAAAAACTACATTAATGAAAGGAAACAACTCTAAAATATTTTTGTGAGTAAAATAGAGAAGGTTTTCTTCCCCAGTATCTTTCCCTTCTCGTTTCCCAAGTAAAGAATTTTGTTTGCAGCAAGGAATGATGGAGCCTAATGAACAGAACTTATTTTTCCTCACTGCCTCGGATCAGGTATTTATTCAGAATAAGCTGTCCAGAATAATTTGACTTATGCAGAACAAACACATTGAAGAAGGCACGGTGGATTTCTTTGCAGTTGTCGGCTTCTTGGTAACCACAGCTTCTTTTCTCTTCCCCGTACTACAGGCTTCCTCTGCTTCTTATCACCAGAAGCCCTTCTTCCTTCCTTCCCTGTCACTCACTCCTTGCATGCAACTCCATCCTCTCCACTTTGGTCCTGCTGCTGCTAGTGCCACTGCCTTACTCATCCAGAGTCTGTGATCTCTAACTTGGGGAAGAGCGGTGTCCGTGCATGGTCTTAGTAGAAGGCTTTAGCTCCAACATCCTTCTTAGGGGTTTCAGTAGGTCCTTTTAATACACTCTGCAAGAAGCACATTCACAATGTTCTCTTTCCTTCTGTTGAGCACAGGACTTCCAAGAATTCTTTGGAGCCCTCAGTGATGCCAATGTTCTCATGACACATGAAGTAGGGTCCCCTGAGTTGAGTATGATGCTCTCTCCTTTTGTGCTAGGTAGCACTACTCTCTGGAAGCATGGAACATTCGGATAATGTTCCAATCCTGAAGTTTTTTTAAAGCATCTAAACATCTACCTTCCTCTTCAAACTTTCAATTTTACTTTGACCCACTGGAAAGCTCAGGAACTTGTTCAGTGTCACAACCTTTGAACACGACTAGTGCTACTAAGGCAGCAGTGGTCAGGGCAGAGCAGATTGCAGATGGCCTTTGGCTTGACAGGGACCAGCAGTTTCAGGTTTGGTTGGCACAAATGTGCAGTCTCCTCAAAACATATTTTTTGAAAACGTCCTTGCTGAAATGATGAGTTCCACCACTGCAAGCTGGAAATTCACACCCTAGTTGTGCCAGCACCCAGGGGCCAGCACAGATTTAGTCACCTGCCCGCTCACACAGGGCTTTCTGTCATTTCTGTGTCATGGAGATGTGAAAAAAGTTCACTATTGCTGGATGAATGAGAGCAAAGTAGTGTCTTCCCAGATGACACCTCCATCTGGGAGGACACCATGTCGTGGACAAGCATGTGCAGGTGGGAGTGGAAGAAAGGCTTTGTCCCCTTAACCTGGAAGCTCCTGCAGGAAAAGCTTAAGCAATGCGATTCTTAAGCAGAAAAGCTACATTCTGGGTTAAGCTTTCCTTCTTGTTAGATTAAGATTATGTGGTACATATTTTCATATGCTCCAAAGCGCACTAACTTAGTTGATAGCACCAAGCTAGAGCACAATGCCCCTAAATGCGATGCAACCATCCTGGAGAGACATGGCTTCGCTAGCATTCACCCTCTTCTATTTCACTTATATTACATTATCAATAGATTAGAGTTGTGAATGGCAGAATGTGTCTCAGGTAACAATCTCATTAGACAGACAGACATGATATAAAAGCCATTAAACAAGGATTTTTATGTCAGACTTCATCAGAGAAAAACCAACAAATGGCTCACCTTTATATATAATGGGTCCCTGAGATGATCAACAAGGACGCAAGCTTTTTCCTCCCATACAGGATTGAGGTTCTTGTGTATTATTTTACTTCTAAAAACTTCTTTTCTTCCAATTTTAAACTTCACGTATGGATCACTTGTTCCTGTTAAGGAGAGAGAAAGATTGATCCATGTTAATCAAACCTTTCTATGGAAGCAAGATAACAGCTCATTAAAACATCAGGGAGAATCTAAAGGAAGCAAATCTAATTAAAACTTGTCATATGGGAAAATAAATGTTGCGTTTTTCCTAAATCTTTCCTTATGTACTGAATTGACAGTAAATTAACAATATTATTATTGCCATGTTATATTCTGATCTTAATTGTGTAAACTTGTGGCTTTAAAAAACTTGATTGCATGATGAATAAAAATATAGTTCCCATTGAAATAATAGAGCTTAATCTGATATTTTTATTGGTATCACCTTGTCAACTATAATAAAAAGATGATCAGTTATATTGCCTGATTTAATTAACATTTATGCTTCTAGAATTTACCTTAGTCATGGCCTTAGAGAAATTTGAGTCTCAACTTGAGAGTGATTTCTTCTTTGGTGCCATAGTCTTTCTTGCTTAGGACCTTTAGTCTTAGAATGTTTGGAAGGGGCAGAGGTCACAGGCAGAGGTCATGGAGGAAGGTAGTATGGCTGGGATAGCGACAGCTGTTTATTAAATGAACTAGATACTTAGTGTTTTGCTTTAACCCCTCCCAAATTCCTTCTGTGAAAAATAAAATCACAGATGCCAAGTACTTATGAATATATAGAAGAGAAGAAACGGAGCTGATGATTCCAACTAAGCTGTTTAACTCTGATGTCTGCACTTTTTCATCAAACTTGTGTGAGAAAGAGCCTTTTAACTAATATATAATATATAAATATTAACTAATATATAATATATTAATGATATATTAACCAGTATATATTATATAATACATATGTATTCACATTTGAGCATGAAGTTGAGAGATGACACAAATTTTGACTTCGGTTGAGTTGATGAGCTTATGCAAGCTCCCTAGAGAGAGTAAATCAGCTATTTCCCATATAAGTTATCACAATACATAATCATCTCTATCAACAGGAAATAGTTTTTTGCATCGGGTTTAACTCCCTTATGATAAAGTTAGACTTAATTCTTTATGCGTTGTTCCAACTGATGCTACAGGTGATAGCTACAATAGATACGATTTAAAGAAGAATGTGACTGGGGCTCTGGAAAGCGTAGTGGCGCAGGTGTCAGCTGTCACAGCTCTGAAGCTGACATCCTTAAATCCACATTATCTATCCCTTCAGTTCTCCTCGCAGTTAATGGCACATAAACACCTATGCTAAATATGAAGTTTGGCTTAAACAATTTGTCGTATTTACTTACTGGAGTTTTACTCTCTTATAACTTTCCATATGCCTCTCCCTCAAAATGTAATACCTTGTTTTTGTATGCATAGACCCAAGTATAATAAGATTATGATCCCTTTTATTATTTGTGAAACTCCATTTCACTTGGACAGCTTGGAGCTTATAAAAGTAAAAACAAAAATATTTATAAATGTAAATGCAGTCTGCTTTTTTTTTTTTTTTTGGTGGAACTAGGGATTGAACTCAGGCCTTGTGCTTCCAGGGAAGCGCTTATTCCACTGAGCCATCTCCCTGGCCCCATGTAGTCTGCTTTGTGGTGACCTGTTATAAAGCACTCACTAGGGAAAGCAATGCAAGGAAAATGTTGGATGGTTAAAATGGATATTTTTATCTTATTGTCTTCAACTATACACTGAGGACTTGAGGCAAAGGTACGGGTAGCATATGTCTTGAAAAATATTAAAATCAATGAGCCAACTTGAATTTTCTGTCATGCCCTAAATTAAGTTATTTTCATTGGTTTAAAAGTCACCTATGTAATTACTATTACCTGTCAAGACATAGTAATCTTATAAGATCCTTGCTCAACTGGATTATTGTTTTATAAATCTGTAGCACTTGATATAGAATCTGGCATATTGTCTGGCATATTTAATAACCATTTAGTAAACAAATAAATTTTAAACTGAATTAATGATGCGTGGGTCAGAAAGGTATTCTGTAAAAATTGCTTGATGAAAAGAAAAGAAAAACTGGGAATCTCTGTTTTAAGTTTGGGGAGGCAGGGAAGTTATCCAAAAGTTTCCACAACTGTTTTGCATAACTCAGTATCTCATGTCCTCAGCGCTAACCTCATAGTGTAGCCTTGCAGAAATGAACTCCAAAGGTTTGCGCTAGCTCCTGTGCTTAGGCAGTGAAACCCTTGCCACAGAGTATATCAGAATGTGAAAAGTCTTCGCATGTGCAAAGCAGAGCGCTCAGAGCCATGTGTTAAATCTCTTGCCCTACTTCTGCAAGATCACTGTTTACTCTGCTTAGACCGCATATGATTTGGTTGCCAGGTTTTCAGTATAAGAGAGAATAAAATACTAGGCTAGCAGAAGCCCATGAGAATGTAGTAAAAAAAAATAGCAGTCAACATGACATTCAGGAAGAATAATTTTAAATTTTAAAGAGGACTTTGAATAATGTTTAAAACTTTTTCTTTTTAGAGTACTTTGGAATAGGGCCAAATGACTCCAAGAAATGTTTCAGGCTTATGCTGGGTTTTGAAGTTAGAATCTTCTGGATTTCCTGTGGTGTGACTGTGGCTGCTTCTCCCTAAGCTCATGTGGGAGTTTAATCCCAGTGTGCTGAGCTAGAGGATGGAAATTTGATCTGACAGTGCTGTTTGGAAGCTGGGCCTTTGGGCAGTAATTCAGATGAGAGATGGTGATGGGGCTGGGACCACCATGATTCCATACTGGGGGCTTTAAAAGAGAGAGACAAAACACAGGACACACATAAGCACGCTGTCTCCTACCTCCCCTGCACCTTCTCAGTACTGTCATCACTAGATGCTGCTCCTTAGCTTAGGACCTCCACAGCCATGAGGCAAAGTAAACTGCCTTGAAAATATCTGTAACTTTCCCGATCTCTGGTGCTGCGTTACTGACAACAGAAAGCAAATTAGTGCTGCACTCCTGCGGAGGTTATAGGCTGCTGCCTGTGGTCTGTCTGTGCCCCTCCCTTTGCTCTTTGCTGTTTTCCGCTGCCATGAACGGCAGCCCTACTCCATGTGCTACTGTGCCTTGGAGCAGCTGAGTAAGGACTGAAACCTCCGCTAACTGTAAGCTAAATAAACCTGCCCTTCCTTAATTTTGGATGTTGGATATTTTGTCCCAGCAGTGAGAAAAAGTAACTGAGACAGCTAGGAGATGAACAGATGGGAAAGTTGGGTTCTACCGATGGAAGGACAGAATGTTTTAGCAATTTTCTGAAAGCAACCTGGCCATTTCTTATGGAATTATACATATGTTTTGTGATATAGAAATTCCATTTCTGGGCCTCTATTCCAGGCAGCACCAAAAGGTACTACTTACAAAAGTATGTAGTAAAGCATTATTTGTAGGGCTGGGGAGATAGCTCAGTCATCTAAGTGACTGCCTGGCAAGTGCAAGATCCTGGGTTTGATCCCAGGTACCACATAATGCACTAGCTACCAAAACCAAGTGTGGTGGCACATTCCTGTAATCCCAGTGCTGAGGAGGCTAAGACAGGAGGATCACCATGAGCCTGAACTGCATAGTGAGACCCTGCAGCAATTAATTAATTAATTAAGGCATTATTTGTAATTGTGGCTATGGGGAGGGAAGCTAAAGCAAAATAGACATACACAGAATGGAAACAGTTGGAAGCAATACATTTGCTCAACAAATAATATCTAATAGCAAAATAATAATAACATTATATAGGTAAATAAAAAACCACAGTCACATGAAATAGTTTATATTCCACTGAGTTGCATGTAATTCAGAAATGTGTATAATATGCACATTCGACTGTGGTCTTCTGTAGTCTTCTATGTGGGCTGAAGGAAGCCGGAGTGGGAAAACTCCTGTGAAGGTGGATTAATAAAAAAGGGGGCAAGCTCTTGCACACCCCAATTATAGAAGTACGGTTAAACCTGCACTTCAAAATAAGAAGGGAAAGATAAGAAAACAAGTAAAAGTGAGAATTGAAAGAAATAATTAACAAAAGGGAGAAGAAAGTGGAAGGAGAGAGGAAAGGAGGAAACGGGAACAGAGCGGAGGAGGAGGGAGACCGTTGGCCTCAGCGAGCCTCTTTGCAAAGCTCGGGCGCTGACCCTCAGAGCCCGGGAGCCGTGTCAAGACGTCTGCGAGCAGTGTCCAGGTGAGCTCTCGAACACTGCCATAGACCCCCACCCCCCGACAGCCCCAAAGACAAGGCACCCCGTCAGGTGTTTCCCACCATCTGAGGCGACACTTGGATCGTTCCCGTTTCTGTAGGACCCACTTAAAGACCCTGGGCTGTCACAGAAAAGCTGGCTCGTGGCCCTTTATTTCTTTATTTATAATTTCTGCCTGATTATGACCCATTGTGGGGCTGTTTGCTTACTGTTATTATTACAAGCATGTAAGGGGTATAAAACTTGCCTAGCATTTCATTATGCAGCTGAAGTGCATGCTTTCTGCACCTATCTTTTTCTATTTTTGTCTTGTTAGGAAGAAGCAAGGATTACAGTTTATGTCTGAGTCCAGTTCTTCAGGCGTGTAGTGAAAGGGACCACAGGAACATTACACCCCGGGGCCTCGTTTTCTATGCTCAGCTCTCCTCTGACACCAGCAGGGAGGAAGGGTGTCAACACCTTGTAGAGCCTGGAGCGTTGTTGCCTGCTAAGCCTCGCTCCTTCCTGAGTGCTCTGGGTCTCACACTTCCTCAGTTGCTCAGGGGCTGAGCTGGTTCAGTTCCTTCTTCCAGCGCCTTTAGATTCCACATTTTTGTTGGTAGCAACTGCTCAGCACTCAAACTGTTTCATGAACCTACATCCTACTCCAAGTCCTTCCCATGTTGAATGTTCCCGAACTTCCAAAGTTTCCTACACACAACCAGCTGCCTTCCATCTCCCTCTGGGCTTTTAAGCCACCCCTCTGAAGCTTGTGGGCCCTTGTCCTCGTGGAGAAACTTCTGCCAAGCTCTACACAGTGTCAGATTGTGCCTCCAAAGGGCCTTCTGTGACATTCA